CAGCCCTTTACTGCCGGCACAAACTGAACAGCTAAACAGGCTTAAAACTTATACAATACAAAAAAAACCAATATGTAACCCATACACCAGACCAAGATAAGAAACTTTTACTCACCAGATATGCGCGTCCGCTCACTGATGGAGTGTTTAACAGAACTTTCAGTATCCCTCAAACAGGATTCCAAGCTCACGACCAGCGCGAATCTCGTCCACTGTAGAGATGGATGTCTTCAGATCTGTGTCTCTTGTAGAGGTCTCAACTTCTTCAGCTTTTAGGAACTCAAGACAAAATAAATTAGGGATTGGATTCTACGTAGAATGTTCTACGTTCCTGCTTCTGGGGTGCCAAATGTAATATCTAAATTGCCTTGGCTTCCTGAAATAAGCTAACTTGCTATTCTCTGCTTCCAATGATGATAACGATACAATGGTTAAAAGAAGCAATGGTCTTATTTATTTATACACAAATCTAATCAAACATAATAAAAGATACAAACAGATACAATAAGACAATCAAGAGAATACTTTACACAGCAAGTCCGTCCTCTGGTTCCTATATCCTGGCTGGGCTCAAAGAGAGAGCAATATTGCCGCGCACGGACTTTTATACCCATTCATACACATACATCGACACCCCCTTTACCCAGAATTCCGCATGTCCCTTAAATGTCTTTCGGCCAATCGGCATGGTCCTTCATATTTATCCACACGCACTGTAGTCCTCCAGCAGGGGGCACCATCGTACTGCAGATCAGTCCTTGGCCTAGGTCAACACCTTGTCCTTTGATCTTTAGACAATGGCCAGTCACCTTCATATGCAAAATCCGGATATCTTGACATGTCTTCCCAATGTGCCTACACCCTTATCAACACCACAGGGTGCAAAGCTTGATGTCTCGTCCCGATGAATGAATGTCACCTTTCTCATCTCCCCCGCCATGCCCCAGGCATGAACAACACACAGTTGGTCTCTTTGATGAGCAATGCAATCAAGATTTGAAGATATCTGTTTGGCAGCTTTCATACCTGAAAATGTTGTACACTCCAACACTGTCACACCCCATCTGCTATTACATAGGGTGCTTGTTGTCCCCCTATGTGATAGCAATAGGGTTAGTGCAAAAAAAAAAAAGTGTTTAAAAATTAGTCACATATAAGAAAAATAAAAAAATGCAAAAAAATGTTTAAGTCCCCCACCTCCCACATACAGCGCCTACGTGCAAAAACGACAATTGCGCTACACATGTTACATATCGCCGCGAACGTCGGAGTGAGAGCAATAATTCTACCATGGTCAATCACTGTTAGCACTAAACTGGTGAGCCTTAAAATGTTCCCTATGGGAAATTTTGGGTATTGACTTTTTTTTGCGGCTTCACGGGCGAACGCAATTTTAAGGCTTGACATGTTTGGTATCTATTTACCCAGCGTGACCCTGTCTTTCATATTTTACTCAATAATTGGGTTCTATATTACGTTTGTATGCACTAGGTTTTAATTTAGTTTATTGTTTCCTAAAAATACTGGTTTGATAAACATTTGCGCAAAAACCGTGCGACATAAAAAATTGCAAGTAGCATTTTTTTATTCTACAGGGCCTCTGCTTTCAGAAAATATATCATTGTTTGGGGTTCTGAAGCTGTTTTCTAGCCAAAATGTTATATTTTATCATGTGTGTGCAAATAGTAAGAAAATGCCCCGGACAGCAAGTGGTTAAAAAAAATAAAAATTACTTTATGTTCCCGGCGACATTTTGGGGGACATAATTTGTCCGGGCATGGTCTCCTCAATTCCAGGGCTGTCCCAGGAAATTGGGGACAAATGGTCACCCTACACAGGAAGCCCTCACTATCTACCAGGGAGCCCCACTAACCAACAGGGAGCCTCCACTGGCCACCAGGGAGCCTCCACTAACCACCAGGGAGCCCCCACTGGCCACAGTGGAGCTCACACTACCAACCTGGGAGCTACCACGGAGCCCCCACTAATTATCAGGGAGCCCCCACTGGCCACCACAGATCCCGCACTGACCAGCAGAGCCCGCACTGACCACCTGACAGTCCACATTGGCCACCCGAGAGCCTAATTAGGAAGCCGCCTCTAGTGCAACCACACGCACCCGTGAAACTCTCTGGTCCCCTGGTGAGAGCCTGCAAAGCCTACCTGGGAGCCCACAATGGCCACCTGAGAGCCTGTACAACCCTCCTGAAAGCCTGCACAACCCTCTTGAGACCCTGGAGACATCAGACGGCAAATCCAGAGCAACATAGAGTATGTAGCTTCATATTATTCTGCATTGCTTTAATATGTATTGCTGGGATTTGTAGTACTCTATAGCAAGTTGCCATTCTCCATTGTTGTATAATGCATTGCTGGGATTTGTAGTCCTCTGTAGCCGGATGCCACTCTCCATTACTGTATAATGTATTGCTGGGATTTGTAGTCCTTTTATAGCCGGTTGGGATTCTCTATTGCTGTATAATGTATTGACTGTATTGCATATTGTATTGAATTATCCTTCGAACCAGAGGGACAGCAGTATGCATGAGGTGGTGATGTAATGGTTGGGGGGGCGCAAAATTTTGTCCCGCCCAAGGCGCCCGTAACTCTGGTTACGCCACTGCTACCACGCAATCGCTCCTACCGTACACCCGCACATAGCGGCTGCCTGGGTCGCTATGGTGATTGTTACGCCACTGACAGCCTGGTCATCCATCAGTGCCTGGACTTAATCTGTTCTTCTCTTTTAATGTACATATATGTGCATTTGTTCTGCTGACTATTTTCCATGTCTGTCTCCGCTGGAACCCGAGTTATAGCATCCTCAGTCCAAACCTGCCTAATTATTGGACAGAACAAATATATTAGGACAGAAAACTAAACTCCCAAAACAATGAAGATTTACCCCAAACATCAGACAACACCAATGTTGAAGTAAAAACATGAACTGACGTTATTGAAAACCAACACAGTATTTAAACAGCTCTGGAAGTCTAAAAACATAATACAATCAGACATTCAAACAATGCAAGCAGACCAACCCCCCGGTGCCTTAATTAAATAGTAGGGAGAGAGAAGACACATGTGATTGGATTATCTCCTGAGTGTCTATCATAAGTTAAGTCACTCAGCTACATCTAGTGTCAAGTTAATCCCATTGTTAACCCAATCACACAAATGGACAAGTAGACTTGACTAACAGACTAACAAGTTCATTGGGAGTCTCAGTCCAGAGTGAACCCCTTTGGTGTTGCTGGATTCACACTCTGTACCTATAATGGGCCGAGGGTGACAAACATAATGCCAGGGGAAAGACGCGGCATATCCAGTCCACACATAAATCCTAGGATAATAGTTCCTTGTAACCCCAAGAGGTCTGAGGAGGGTCTCCTTAGTCCTAGGTCCATAGTCAGTAGGAAGGAGGCTAGCCCCCAGGCTCCTCCAACAGCTCCAGTGACGGTTCAGTCCGTCACAAGCTTATTTTTCTTAAGGGCACTCTCATTCACAAAACAATGACTTCAGTGAACATATAGTTACCCAACCAAAACCAGACCCATATGCTGATGTCCAGTTTCAATAGATTGGAAAACTGGGAATTGGAAGGTCTCCTTATTGTTGGAGGTGACTTTAACTTTGCAATGGTAGATACACCTTCAGGGAAGTCTCATGTCTCTCTTTATCAATTGAATAGACTTGAGAAGAAATTACATTATCTCTAACTTGTTAATGTCTAGTGGATCTTATACTGAGACTCACAGTAAGCTGGATTGTTTTTTAGTCTAACATCATATGC